ATTGATACTCTATGGTTCCTAAATGTGGAATCTGTGATAGTGATTAATCTTCACATGACAGGAATTTGTTTGGTTTTAACTAAATGTTGCTATAGAAATTGTTGGCAAGAGATAAGGCAAAGCAACCACGCAATAAACCCTTTCCTCAGCATCTCTAGGTAATTTATTATCTTCAGTAATATTACTCCTTTGTAGAACTACGGAACTATTAAAGAGTTAACAGTGAGGCCGGGTGCAATGGCTTAGGCCTATAATCCCAGCACTTTGGGAGGCCGAAGCAGGCGGATCACTTGAGGTCAGGAGTTCAAGTCCAGCCTGGCCAACGTGGTGAAACCCCGCCTCTACCCAAAATACAAAAATTAGCTGGATGTGGTGGCATGCACCTGTAATCCCAGCTGCTCGGGAGGCTGAGGCACAAGAATCACTTGAACCTGGGAGGCAGAGGTTGCAGTGAGCTGAGATTGCACCACTGCACTCCAGCCTGGGCAACAGAGGGAGACTCTATCTCAAAAAAGGGGATTAACAGTGGAAAAATCATCACCATGTATACAGGAGCTCTCTATGAAATGGAAATGTATTAATAATGAGGATGAAGAATTAATTCCAAAACAAAAGTTGCCTAACTTCAAGCAAAGGTGGGAAATCTGTCTGAAGCAGTAAAAGAAAAATACAATGCCCATAGCCAAAGTTTGTAGCTAGTTACGGTTGGCTCCGAAGATTTAAGTTTACCAATTTTCTCAGTGTAAAAAATGAGTGTTATGGCTGTTGATATAAAAGTAATAGAAACATACATAAAGTTAAGAGCAATAATAGAAAAAGATGACTATATGGAATAGCAAATCTTTAACATGGATGAAATGGATTGTCTTGGGGGAAAAAATATCAAATAGATAACCCATTTTGAAAGAATAAAAACAATTCCAGAGTTTCTCCCTTTAAAAGGTAGGTTGTTTATAACTTTGGAGTTAATGTAGTAAAATACTATGAACTACAAAAAAAAAATATTTAACAAAAACTGTAGCTAGGCTGCATACCCAGACACACACATTTTTAACCTATAAAAAAAGGGATTACTGGCCAGGAGCCATAGCTCATGTCTGTAATTCCAACACTTTGGGAGGCTGAAGCAGACGGATCACTGGAGGCCAGAAATTTGAGACCAGCCCAGGCAACACAGCAAGGCATCATCTCTACAAAAATTTTAAAAATTGTTGGATCTAGTGGTGGAAGCCTGTAATCTCAGCTACTTGAGAGGCTGAGGTGGTTGGATTGCTTAAGCTCAAGAGTTTGAGGCTGCAGTGAGCTGGGATCATGTTACTGCACTCCAGGCTGGCCACCAGAGTGAGACCATGTCTCTAAAAACAAAAGTATTATCGCAAGTTAGGAAATGTTATGTAAATATATATGTAATAAAGGTACTAAGTCCAATGAATCAAACAAACTTTAGCAAGCAAAACTTTATAGATCCCACCAATAAACCTGCACAATTCTTAACAGCAAACTCTCCCTAAAATACTTTACTAGTAAGTATGAGAGAGACCCAAGTTCTGTCCATCCTATAAAGAACATTTCTGTACCTGATGTAATGTAATACTGGGGGTGTGCAGGTCAATAGTGGCCAGAGAAGGAATTCGAGATGCTGAAAGAATTTTGTTCTCTTTCTTTGTTAGCCTGGAATTTCGAGCTAGATAAAAATGACCATAAACACAGTGAAAATATTAGACATTTTGTTAGTTTTTAGTTTTTCACATTCTTTACTTGCTCCTCAGTATGTACTTATTATAATAGGTATTTACATGCTTAAATATGTAAAGTTACTATGAATTATTTTTAAATTCTGTTTATTTAACATACACTTTAAATAATGTAAACAGACTATACAAAGTAAAAGCATTATCAACATACCTATGCCTTCCAAGGTTCTTAGTTCAGGGAGATGATTAGAGTTTAGTTCAGGCAAACGGACATCTGTCCTGGAGTAGTCCCTTCTGTTCTTACTTGCCTGAAGGAGACTCTTTTCACTAGAGACCTAATATCATCAAAATAGGCAACACAAAAGAATTAGTTTCAAGGTTAGCTAGGCTTTCCTTCTTTTGTAACTCCTATGTTTGTATCCTAAAATTTGTGAAATTGAAGGTCTATAATAAAAAATTTGAAGGACATTAATAATATAAAAAATTCATCCAATTATTTCAAATGTCTTCCTCATTAAATTCATTAAAATTGCTAACAAGTAGATAACTTGATTGCTATGAGCTTCTCCTTCTCCCTTTGCCAATTATCAATGTGTTAAATCCCAGCAAGTAGTAAAAGGTTAAAAGATGGGCATTGAGGCCCTGGTTCTACAGGCCAGCATGATCAGGCCTTACAACACTTCCTCGGCTTTTCAGCAAACAGTTGCTGTTGTATTCATAAATATTGAACAGTTTATCTTCATACGTATGTCACATCTTTCCCTAGCTTGTTTTTCACTTTCCCAATATAATTTTCTTATTCGTTTTTCTATATTTGTCCTCGTCTTCCTCCTCAGAGTTAGAATATGGGACTATCTTCCTAGGAATACAATTTATTAGGTAAAGAACTGTAACTTCAATTATTTTTCCTAATCTTTCTTAGTACTATTATTTTACAGTTGGTAAAGTCAGAAAAAATAGCAAGGAATAGCAGCAGCACTTCAATTCTGCATCCTTAAGAATTTGACACTTTTCCAATATTTTTCATTCAAGAATCACAGAAGCCCTGTATTCCTTTCCACAGTCTCAAAATAATTGACACATAGAAAGATTATGTAACTTGCTTAAAAAATGCGTGTTTATGTGATCTGCTTAAAAAAGTATGCATGATGAAATACATATATATGTATAATAAACTACATGCACAAAAACACATGTATAATGACATTAAGTTATTGAGGTTCCTTGATGCCTCAAACCTAATATTCTGTGAGTTATGCCATTCTGGCTGCCAGAAAGTCTTCAAGAGTCTTGCAGTGAGCTTTTGAGTTTCTTTCTTTTGGATATTTCTCTTTACTCTTTTCATAGAACAAGTGTTAAGCCTATTGGTTCAAATTGGCTATAAAATAAAATAGTTCAAGAAAACCATATGCAAGCACAAAAAATAAAATTTAAAAATAAGTTCAAACTGCCAGATTAACATATTCAAAGAGTGAAAATAAAACACATAGGACAGGTGGGGTGGCTCACACCTGTAATCCCAGCACTTTGGGAGGCCAAGGCATGAAGATCATGAGGTCAAGAAATCGAGACCATCCTGGCCAACATGGTGAAACCCCAACTCTATTAAAAATACAAAAATTAGCTGGGCGTGGTGGCACTTGCATGTAGTACCAGCTACTTGGGAGGCTGAGACAGGATAATCGCTTAAATCTGGGAGGCAGAGGTTGCAATGAGCTGAGATGGCACCACTGCACTCCAGCCTGGCGACAGAATGAGACTGAATCTCAAAAAAATAAAATAAAATAAAACACATAATAAATATTTATAATAATATATTTATTCACACCTCAGAGCATGAAACATGGGAGAGAGGTATTAATCTTTAACATACAAGTTGAAGAAAGTCTAGGCTTAGCTCTGCTTGCATTAATTTTCATTAAGGAAAGACTCCACTCACTGGGTCTTCGCCCTACTCATCTTCGCCTCCTTTCTTGATTACCTCTTCCAAAGAAGAATAAATAGAAATCAGATCTAAGATTATCAGCCAGCATTGATTATGCAATGCTTGAAAGCAGGTTGGTATCAGTTCTAGGAAAATGGTATTGAACTAGATATTCTGAAAGCCTTCTGATTACAATAAACTTCCAAAGCAGACCAACATTTTAAAACACAAATATCCAAATATCCATGAAGAAACCAAAAAGGGAAGTACTATAGGCACAGAAATTATAAACTAAGAATAATTAAAAGAAAAACAAATACCATATCCAAATAATGAGAGAGATGAAAAGGCTAAATTTTTCAACTCTGAAGATAGTGGGAGAAGTACAGAAGGGAAATTTGTTACACACACAAAAATAGTACTCCTTTGGGAATGCATCCATACCTCCCTTTGTTGTAAAAGGCATTCATTCTTTCAGTGTGGAGTTTTTTCTTATGAAAATTAATGCAAGCAGAGCTAACTCTAGACTTTCTTCAACTTGTAGGTTAAAGGTCAATACCTCTCTCCCATGTTTTGTTCCCCCATTCTGAGATGTGAATAAATATATTATTATAAATATTTATTATGTGTTTTATTTTCACTCTTTGAATATGTTAATCTGGTAATTTCAACTCATTTTTAAATTTTAGGCCAGGCATGGTGGCTCATGACTTAATCCCAGCACTTTGGGAGGCCGAGGTGGGCAGATCACCTGAGGTCAGGAGTTTGAGACCAACCTGGCCAACATGGAGAAACACTGCCTTTACTAAAAATACAAAAATTAGCTGGGTATGGTGGCATGTGCCTGTAATCCCAGGTACTCAGGAGGCTGAGGCAGGAGGATCGCTCAAATCCGGGAGGCAGAGGTTGTAGTGAGCCGAGATCATGCCACTGCACTCTAGCCTAGGCAACAGAGAGAGAGACCTCTCTCTCTCTCTATCTCTCTCTCTCTATATATATGTATATATATTTGTACTTGCATAGGAAGTAAAGTACAGTGAGGAAAACAAAAGCACAAATCTCTGCCTTCCAACCTTACATTCTAGTCAGGGCAGACAGACAATATATAAATAAGAGTATATAGATTACACAGATAAATGTAATGGAAAAAAGTAAGCAAGGAGAGGGCATCAAGCATAAAGGGAGGCATAATGAGTTACAAGACTTCACAATAAGATTTCATGTGAGCTAAGGAAGAGAAAAAGCAGATCCATTGAGTTATCTGTGGAAGAATGTTCTAAAGCAAAAGAAATAGCAAGTGCAAAAGTCCAAAGGTGGAAGTATGTCTGACCATGTTCCAGGAATAACAAGAAAATCAGTGTGGTAGAACAGAGTGATCAAGAAAAACAGATGGAGATGGGATAGACGGTTGGGTGGAGTCAATCATGCAGGAACGTATAGACCCTGTAAGGACTTTGGCCTTTTCTCAGGGATAAGCTAATGGAAGATGTTGAGCAGAAAAGTGATGAGAGTTTGACCTAACTTTAAAAGAGAAACATTCTGGAGGCCATGCTGAGAATAATAATGCTCCTTCCTGTGCTATCTCTAAATCTTGTACATGCTTCTACTATTACAACATGATACGATGCTTTAATTTGCTGATCCTCTAGATCATGAAGCCCTTGAAAAGAAAGATTGACTTCTTTATCTTCAGTGTCTCACACATAATAAATGATCAATAAATATTTGTTATATAAATAAACA